TTTTTTGCACTTGTATTTGCCAAAAGTTCTTCAATGGCTCAGCGCCTGTGAGTCATTCGCAACCGTATGCTGCGCATGCCGCATTATACTAAAGCAGGACTTTCGACATAAGCTACTATTCCATACGAACACGGAATTAAAAACAAGGATAGATGTAATTTAATACACTATTAATATTTAACTTTGCTTGACAAGTGCGCGCCGTTTCCCCTATTTGTTTTTCGCCTGCCACAATATCCTCTTAACCTACAATCATGGTATGCTCATCAAGGTACTCATATTGTGGCACTTCTAAATTAAGCGGTGCAGGGCCTTTGCGTACACGCCCAGACGCATCGAAGTGCGAGCCATGGCAAGGACAGTAGTAGCCACCGAAGTCGCCTGCATTTGCAATTGGCACACAACCCAAATGTGTGCAGACACCGATCACCAACAGCCTATGTGGATCCTTGACGCGTTTATCATCTGACTCTGGGTCGCGTAGGGTCGATATTTTCACCGAACGCACACCCTGGATTTCGGACTCGGTGCGATGTCGTATGAAAAGTGGTTTACCTCGCCATTTGAACGTAACCGACTTGCCCTTTAACTTGATTTCGATCTGGGCCATAGCTAGTACATCGGCTGATACGCCCATGGAATGTACGAACATGTTCACTATGCCTTTGGCGGCATAACAACTCCCGATAACGCCAGCGGCGACCATCATGTAAGAGAAGGCTTTGCGCTGTTCTGCACAGTTATCGTGTGGATCATCTGGATTCGTTGTTTCACGGCGATAGTCGGAGAAGTCTGGCACATTCATATCGTTGTGCAGCAATCGCAGCGATTGCGAGAGTGGTGGAAATGGTAGTGCTGTCGACTTGAACGGCAAGATCATATGTACTGTTTTAATATGCGCTCCACGCGGTACCATATATGCGGCAAAAGTGGATATCCGCGTGCATGGGAACTGAAAATCCGTTACCAAAAGTATCGTTTGTTTGTTGAGAGCACTTTTCCGCGAAAGAGTTTAACCGGAGGAACGGATGCGCCCATGGGCGTCGCTACGTAGGGGCTGGGGGCTCGAACCAATCTCTTGTTATTCTTGTACTTACAAATATCGGACCAAAGTTATAATACCATTTCATGCTCATGAAAGGTATAGTTTTCAGATTTCAAATCGGTGAAGTAGGTAACAAAATATAAATTTAAATATTTTCTTAACTTCTTCCCAGCGTATCTATTAAAATGTCATTTTCAAAAATTTCATGCATTGCTATGCTATGTCATTCCATCTCAAACATACTAGGGGTATTCTCCAAATATTGCAAAGCCATTGCACGTAGCACGGATTGCATGGATTGCATAACTTGCAAACACACAACAACAAAATATCGGGTGATTTTTTTGAGGTTAGGATTTTCATGCATTAGTATTTGACA